ATTCTTATTTTTTATTGAAGTGGAGTCAATTTACAATGTTCGTTTCAGGAACACACTTAATTTTTTACTTTTAAAAAATTAAAAGGTTCTTGGCATATTTGATGTCAGATATTTAAACATTTTCACTTAAGAGACAAAAGCTTGATGCATGAAATACACAAGCGCTTTTGGAGTAGAAATGGGTGGGGCGCAGCTGTCTTTAGGCCTTTGCGTATGAAAATGGTCTTTGAAACATCTGGGAAAAGCCCTCCCCAGAGGCGCAGACCTTCCTGGCACTGCCTGCACTGCCTGGCAACACCATGTTTCCGTTTCTCGCCCTCTGTCCTGCCTTGCAGGTCTAGGTGTGTGAGTGGGAGGCATAGCGGCTGGAGGAGGTGCGCCCTAAGGGCAGCATTGACCGTGGGGACTGTCCTGCTCATGTGCCAGTCAGAGGACGAGGCATGGAAGGCTACATTTGCTGTATCAGGAATTTAGTGGTGTTTTGCGGGGAAGGGATTCCAGTTGCATTCATTTTTATAGTATGAAACTCAGTATTTTAGTGGGGTTCTAATTTATATGAGTTTTCAAATGGGTGGTTCTTTTTGCATTTTTCACATCTTTCCCTTTTCATCACCTGTCCACTGTGAATGCATATAGTGGAGTCGCCTTTGCCCACTGGAGAGAACGAGTGGGTAACATGACCGGTAATAGAAAAGGTGAAGTTAACGTGAGAGCATTTTCTGTGATGTCTTAGCGAGAACGGTGTGGAATGTGGTCTGCCTGTACTCTCTGGCAGGAAGAAGACGGTGTGGGATGAGAATATAGGACAACGCGGTGGGTCCCCAGGGTAGCGTTTGTGAGCACGGGTAAACTCATCAGAGAATCTCTCGAGCAGATGGGCTGTGTACAGCACTGTTAAGTAGTTCCTGAGGGTTCCTCCAGCTTTTCCAAGTTGAAGCGGCTTAAGGCTGTGGTTAAGTTCCAAATGAATCCCAACAAACAGGCTTTTTCCAAATGGATCCAGTAACACTTAATAAAAATGTAGCTGTGTGTATGTGTCTGTGCATAGCCACGCACACATGGAAAAGGATTCCAAGTGGTAAATGCTGTAATTCATGTTGAAAAAGACCCCTACCCCTTTTTTTCATTTGTTAAAACCACTTCTTAAAATAGTCTTTGGCGACATTGTTCCTTATAACTGAACTCTGTCCAGAGGTGAGTGTTTGGGGGAAAGTTTGAAGCAAATTTATGTGGCTGTTTTCTGTGGGCAGTAGGATGGAAAAATAATAAAAATGAACTGCACATTTTCCTGACTTTCTTGGAACTTAAAAGTGGCTGACCTCGTCCCCCATTTAAAATATTCTCTCTTGGGCTGGAGTGTAGATTTGGGAAAGAAATGTACTCAGGCAGTGTTTGGAAGAGTAAGTATCTAAGGATGGGGTGTACACTGTGCAGTCCACACCTGCCTTTCCCTTAAAAAAGACTTTGTGTTTTCACAAGAAGACTGAGTTTCAAGCAAGTCCCCACTTTTCAACCCAGTGTATTCCTGGAAATCCTATTTTAAATGCTCACCAAAAAGACACATCATATTCCCTGGAGAAATAATAACTAGTTCTTGCAGTGTCCTTTCTACATATGCAGACCCTGTTGTAAGCATTTCATATGTGTTAATTTACTTAATCTTCATGATAACCTCTTGAAGTAGATATTGTTATTATCCTAATTTTACATATGAAAAAACTGAGGCACAGAGACATTAAGTAGCTTGCTGAGGGTCACACAGCTAGTTAATGGGGAAACCAGGATTTATTTAGGCAGTTGGACTTCAAAGGTTGAGTAATTAAACTGCTATGATATGTTGTGTCTCAAACAACGTTAAAATATTATTGTGGTTTTTAAGTAAGGATTTACCAGCCAGATATGACCAAGAGTATATCATAAAAGCAAAGACATGTTAATTTATCTATTTAGTTGTTCAATGTCAATAACTAAAACATAAAATGAAAGAGAAAAATATTCTTATTCTAAAATGGGGATAAATGTGTTAATCAGATTGACTATGCAAAGGGTTCTATATCACTGAAAGCAGGTAAGATATGCTTTTTCTGTGACATAAATTTGACTGTGAACAATATGCTAGTAAAATAAAAATCTAATTAGATATTTACTTTTAAATCTCTGGTTTAGATTTTGGAAAGCTCTTTGTGGTTTGCATGGTCCAGTTTTCTCAGTAAGACTCCCGAGAAACGTGCACCAAGATATTCTTTTCTCTCACCATCACTTTTGCAGAATAGTGTGCACAGTGCCTAAGTGTGCCAGGTTGGCAGGTTTTCCAGCTGTCTTCTGGTTTCCATAATGTCTGTTGAAAAGTCAGCTATGTATCTTATTGTCAGGGGATCCACTGGGCTGGGTAGCTTTGGCTGAAGGCAGGAAAGTGTCTCCTTGCTTCTGGGTGGATCTGGTGGAGTTCTGGGGACCTGGCGGGTAGGCAGCTGTCACTCTGGGGTTAATGTGGCAGGTCCCCCTGAATCCTCTTTGTGTTGCACAAATCCCCAGGGTAGTGAAAACCGTTTGGTTAAGGGTCACCAAGCATTATCCTTTTTTATGTAGAACCTTCAGTAGCAATGCCTGTTGGCTCACTCTTCTCTCTCTTCCTCCCTCCTCAACACCATGTCTCTCTCTCTCTCTCTGTCTCCAGCACAGGCCCTGGATCCTCGCAGCCTATGGGATGTGGGCCTGCCAGTGTGTGCTGGGGGCCCAAGGCACCGCCGTGGTCCTTCTCCACACTGCCATCTCCTACTGCGTAGCCCAGTTCCGGTCACCGTTCCTCTCATGGCTCTGTTCCCTCCTCCTGCTCTCTACACTGAGGCTGCAAGATGTGGAGGAAGTTAAGGTAAGAGTCTCTGTTTTACCTCTGGGAAGGAGAAGACTCCTTGGGCGCTGCCCTCATCCAGGTAGATGCCTTTGTTTTCAGACGAGTCAATGGAAGAACTATGGTGGGGCTCCCCCTAGTGGCCGTAGGGAGTTAATGCATGTGAACCCCCGTGTTGCATTCTGCAGTCTTCTCTTTTGTATTTGACTGTGTTTTAGCCCTTGGAGTTTGCCCGGGGCTGACCTTGTACCTTTTCTCCTAGGTTGGGTAGGCATAGGTGGTGCCGGTTGTCACAGGAACAAAGAGGAGAGAAAGCAGTAATCCCCTATGCATTTAACAAAAAACTCACCTGCAGTGTGCTGTATAATATAAAGGGGAATCTAACATTCCTTAATCTCATCAGAAGCCCACGATAGCCCTGAAACACATAAGACAGGTCTTTTCCTTGCACAGAACATCTTGGGAAGCTTTGGATACTCTTTATTTAATCACTGTGGAACTAGAATGTCTGTGGTGTCTTTATTTTTGTTCATTTGTACATTCACTCATTCATTGATTCAAGTGATGGCACTTAGCGTCAGTCGGTGCATCTGGGATTGGCACCGTCATGGCAAAGAACACGACGGCAAAGATGGCTAGTGGTTTTCTAGTCTCTTCTATTCACTGTATCTCCTTTTGAAACTGGAGGCAGTCATTTACTGTCTGAGTCTTAATTTCATCATTTAGCAAATGGAAGTAACAGCTACTCTGCCTTCCTCGTGGAGTTGTTCTGAGGATCTATTGAGACAAAATGGGTTAAGCAGTTTTGTAAACATTGTAGCATTTTAAATATTCGAGTTTTTTTGCTCTTGTTAGGCTGTCTTAATTTTTCTTCCCTCTTGCTGATGGGCTGGGGCTAATACTTCAAGCACACACCTCAAAATCTGGACTTCTGGAGTAGATAGGGAGTAAGGAGCGTAAATAGCTCTCTCCTAACAAAAGGGACTTAATTGCCCAGAGTGATTAAACATGGCAGTCATTTAAATAAGTGTGCTTAAAAATAGATTTGCAATAAAAATAAAAGCACATTCACACCCAACTTTTGGGGGCCCTGGTAAATGTACAGAACTGTCCCCAATTGTAATTATCACTTGCTTGGGGACCACTAGGCATTAGTTGTGGATGTTGGTGGTGAACAAGTATTCCATTTATCATGCAGGCTGATGGTTTGACAGATGTTGCTCAAGTCCCAGGAGCAAATGACTGGAAATTAGTTGCGCTGGGTTTCCTTGCTTTCACATGTGCAGTCTCTTGGTTTTCCTTGGTGGTCACCAAAGTCCTGGGCAGGGAGTAGAAACTCTGCTCTGTGCTGCTTTTTTTTTTTTTTCCTGTGTAAAGCCTTAAAAGATCCTCACGGATCAGTGAACTACCCTTTCCTTTGTCCCAATTCTATTTCTCGTATCTATTTCCATATATTGTTTTTATCATGAAAAAAGCAATACCTATGTCTTATAGAAAATACGGAAAATATAAAGATTATAAAATGAGCCATGATTTTACTCCTCCAGTGTTGTTAGGATTTTACCACATTTGCCTCTAGTCTTTTGTTCCATATGTGGTTTTGTTCAAGCTCGTTATTTCTTATTTCATGCTGTGCTGTAGTTACACTTTCACATACCTGTCTCCTGAGTGAGAATTTAGACACGTTGAGGGCAGGGAACGGTTTCTTTTGACTCTGTGCCACTAAAGTTTATTTGGCAAATAGTCCTCACCTATGTATGGAGCCAAATTAATTACAGAAGAGCAAAAAGGAAAAGTATGTTGAAAGCATAAATCCCCTGTGACATTTACAGACACATCTCATTTTAGGGTGCTTCATGAATACTGCATTTAAAAAGTTTTTTTTTAAACAAATTGAAGGTTTGTGAAAACCCTGTGTTGTCAGATGATCATTCGCATTTTTTTTTAGTAAAATGCTTAAGTATTTTTTTAAATGAAGGTATGTACGTTGTTTTTTAAGACATGATGTTACTGTACACCTACTAGACTCAAGTATAGTGTACATGTAACTTTTTTTTTAATTGAAGTAGAGTTGATCTACAGATGTGTTAGTTTCTGGTCTACAGCACAGTGATTCAAACCTGCATTTTAAATGCACTAGGAAACCCAAGAAACTTGTGTGATTCACTTTGTCGTGATACTCCCTTTGTTGCGGTGTTCTGGAGCTGAGCCCACGATCTCTCTGAGCTCTTCCTGTGTAAGCCTGTCTTTGTCATCTGAATTGTTGAAGGAGCTGTCAAAGTACCCACTGGATGGAGCTCACCTCCATGCTGTCCACTGGTGCGTCTGACGGATGCACATCCCGGAGAACCTTCACTAAGCGTTGCATCAGGCTTAATGCGAAGCTGATGCTTGATGGCGGAGACGCTCTCCTGCCCACTGCTCATCAGCTGCTTGTTTGGATCAGCTGTGATGTGTACCTGTGGTTCAGTGGCTCTTGACTCCCTGTAGGCGCTGCGCATGGAGGAGATGTCCCTCCCCAGACACTGGATGATGTCCCTCCTTGACACTCAGGGTCGTTCTCTCCTTGTGACTCTGCAGAGAGGGTGGTACCAGACGGAAAACGAGTACTACCTGTTGCAGTTCACGCTGACCGTTCGCTGCCTGTACTACACCAGCTTCAGCCTCGAGTTCTGCTGGCAGCCGCGCCCCGCCGGCCACACCTTCTACTCCTTTCCCTGGATGGTGGCCTATGTCTTCTATTACCCTGTCTTCCACAACGGGCCCGTCCTCAGCTTCCCGGAGTTCATCGGACAGGTAGAGCTTTTTGGGGACTGAATGGGTATTTCTGTAGATGAAATGTCTGCCCTTGCTGTGCTGATCATCTCGAGCCTTTTCATCCAGGGGTGCCCGCACATTTATTAAAGCACACATCCTTGTCATGATTTCTGATGATAAATGAAATCCTCTGGGGAAATGAGCCTTCAAAATGAAAGTCAGTGTGTCTCTTGGGCACGTTGGTGGTAGGAGCCCCTGCCCGGGTTCACAGTGGTCTGTGGCGACCAGGATTGATAGCCAGGACCTGGCGGTGAGCACCCACTGCAGGGCAGTCCCAGACAGGTGTTACCTGGAAGGCAGCTGTTGGTTGGCAAGTAGTAGGTGCCTTCTTACTTTCACAAACTGGTTTTGAAACAGCTCTGCCGTGGCCTGGGGATTGTTCAGGGCGACCTGGATGGCATAACCGAGTGGAGTTGAGGAGGGTTTGAAGGCAAGAGTGTGTTTTCGGGTCTGGGTGCTTGTTTCTGCCCAGGAACTCGCCTGCCATCTTCCGGACAGCAGCCTTGTCTGAAGCTCACGGCCAGCTACCTTCGTCATTCCCACCTCACTTTTCCTCCTGCTTTGGGTTTTTTCCGCCTCATTCCAGAGCTAGCCTCATGGAACATGTGTACTGAGTTGATTCACCTACAGTGTTAGTGATCAGTGACCCCTAAAACAATGTTTTTCAAAGAATACTCCTGCCTGCCCCTGCCCCCCAACAAAAATCCTGATGGAGGTAAGCATAATAACACATATGCACACACAGTGCACACGTGCAAGCACACACATGTACACACAGGTGCACACACTTGGAGGCCTGGACACATCGTTCAAAGAGCAGGGGCAGCAGCCGTGTTCCACATATCCCAAGGGCAGTCTGAAAGGTGGCCCCTGCAGAAACAGGAGAGTTCTTAGAAATCCCTTGTTTTGTCTTAAAGAAGATCACCAGCTACACGTTGTACTCAGAAGTATATTACCGCATTTTAACAATAACTTAATGTTTTTAAGTTGCCAGTTACATCATTTAATTTTTTCCTCTCTGCAGATCTTTAGGTGAAACTGACATTCTGGGCAGAGGGAGGTTTAGCATATGGTTTCTCGTACCTCAGCCTGGGTTCCCTAGGGTCATTCTTTTGCCATGAAGTAATTTAAAATCTGTGTTTGAAAATTATGTTTCAAATTGTATAAAAGACAGAGGTGGTTTATTGATGGCAGCTCAATGTCTAACTCAGTGGTTCTCAAAGTGGGTCCTCGGACCGGGAACGTGAGCATCACCTGGGAACTGGTCAGACATGCAGATCCTCAGGCTTCATCCCAGATCTACTGAATCAGAAACCCGGGGGTGGAGCCCAGCTGGATGCATGTGACAGGGTCGAGGACCACTACCCTAAGTTCCTTAGGAGAGTAGGGGAAGTGCGTGGTGGGAGGGTAGGCCCAGTGCAGGGTGAGTTCAGGTCCTCCAGGTTTTGTCTCTGTTACAGTCTCCTTGCCGTTGTGACTTTTTAGTTCCTTCTAACGTTCTAGCCAATGACGTTTGGACTAAACATCCACACATACACTTCTGCCCTCTCTTGAAGACACAGTGATTTTCAGAGAAGCCCGACCTAACCCATCAGGAGGAAAGACATTATTTTCCTAACTGCCTCTTTCCCAGGAAGGAGCTTAGCCCTATGGGATCTGTGCTTTTTGAGGCAAATCACCATTCTTTGTTGTTCGCATCTCCTCCCTTCTGGTTGTATCCTGTAGGGTCTCGAGGGAGCATGAGAGGCTGGCCACAGGGTCCTGCATCTGTCATTGAGGTGAGCTTTGAGCCGATTGCTCCCCTAAATCCTGAGCCAAAGGCTCTGGTTCTCTTGAGTGTCAGTCTGGGAAAAGGAAGGGGTTTCTCCCTGTAGGGACTCAGATGTGGAGATGCTGGGTTGCAGCTATGTTTTCTTCTCTCTCTCTCCCTCTCTCTTTTTTTAAAACCGCTTTCAAAATGGTAGCAATTGCTGAGTGTAGGGAACTCAAAAAGGCAAATTGAAACCTTTCTTATGGTCTGGGAAGATTCATAGGAAAGTTGATCTAGAAAAGGCAAAATGTTTGATAAGCTACAGGGCAATAAAAATAAGTCAGGTGGTTATCTCTGTAGTTGCTGACGGTGTCTATGGGGCACCCACCCCCAGTCTGACACATGGGTCTCAGAGGGGAGCAGTCAAACTGGGAAGCCAACGTAGTGGTAAGAGGACTCCTTCCGTGAGGCCAGGAAGGGAAAGGCTGGAGGGGGCGGAGGAGCATCAGCTGGTAGGGCTTGTGAGCAAGGTTTGCTCTGAACGAGTGCTTGTGTGAATGAATAAACGTAATATGAAATGGTAACATAGAGATTCATGGCTCTTAGATGCTCTGAGATCAATGCTCTCAAACTGCAGAGAGCAGGACAGTGACTGTGCCACCAGGGGGCAGCAGAGCCTCGTTGTGGAAACCAACCCAGGCTGGCGAACCGTGGTTGAGAAAATGACACTTGGGCACACCCCTGGGAGTATGTTACCTTTCACCCAGTTTTTTTTTTTCAGTGTGTACCTTTACAGACACAAGATGAGGGACATATAGAAGAGGTGCCTCTGTAATGTATGTCGCATGAGATTTGTATGCATCCAACGTGAGCAGGGAAACATTTGTTATAAGGCCTTAACTCGAAGGCCATCTCTGAGCGGATCTGGTGTTCAGGAATATGGGCCGTGTTTATTTTTCCCCAGGGTCCTGTGGAACTCAGATCCCGAGCCAGGGTGAGGGAGGGGGACAGGGTGAGGGAGGTCTAGGGAAAGGCGGGACATGCTGTTTATTTGCTGAGCTTGGAGCCCGGGGCCACCACCCTGTCTCCTCTGAGCAGGTGGATGTATGCAGTGAGGAGCTAGTGTGGGGAGGCCGTGAGCCGGGGCTGGTGGGACCAGGGGCTCCTCCTTGCTGAGGGCCGTGCTCCAATAGGGCACAAGCCTATTGTTACAGGGTCTGAATCCCTGCTCTGCTGTGGCCTGAGAGCCTTTGGTGAGTTCCTTACCTTATTTGTGACTCAGTTTCCTTATCAGTGAAATAGAAAAAATAATAATCCGTCCCTCACAGGATTGTTGTGAGGATTGAGTGATTTCGCACAGGTAATATGGCTTGACAAATAAATACTCTGAAGTACCAAGGATTACTGTTTTTGTTACTGGTAGCCGAAAGCTGGTGGTGTGTCTGGGGTCAGTTGTTGGAGGAGGTCATTGAAAGGCCTTTTGACCCCTGGTTGACCCACCAGCTGGCCCTGGGGAATTGGAGGCTCCTCACCCCTTCCCTGCCCTTGGAATGTACGCTCTGCTCACCAGTCCCACACTAGGAGCCATTTCAACGATGTAGCCTTGACCTTGGAAGAGTAAGGTGTGGTTGAGACCATCTGGACTGAACCTGTGACTGGATCCAGTTAGGGCCCCAGTATCAATGTGAAGGTTCTGGCGGGCGGGTGTGGAGGCCTTCTTGTCTTGCAGGGCCCAAGACAAGGCTCATGGCTAAGGTCCTTTGCTCATGAAACCGGCCACCACTCAGCCTGGAGTGGCCTGCCTGTTTTTTCTGTCTCCCTTGCTCTCTGTGTACTGGGGCTAGTTTCAGGTATCACCTGGGAAGCTCCCGAGGGTGAAAACCAACAGAAGTTTATGCCAGAACTGAGGCCCTGGGTGTGCAGGCTGGTAGGTGAGGGTGGCAGCAGGGGATTCTGGGGAGCACCCATCCTTGGTCTCAGCCCAGCATGCTGGTTCCGTCTCTTTGGAAGAGAGATACCCACTGGTGCCACAGGACCAGGGGCCGGCCAGCGCCTGAGTGACCAGGGCTGGAGTCCATGTCCCAGACAAATCACTGAGGGTAGGGGTGGGCTCTGGTTCTAGAGAGCACCTGGAATGATACAAATTGTAGTAAGTGGCATTAATCAGGCACTTACCCTGAACCAGGCTTTACACGTTTTAACTTACTTCATCCTCGCAACAACCATAGGAGAGAGACTGTCATCTCTCTCACTTCACAGACACGCAGGCAGAGAGGCTTACGGAGTGCTCACTGGGATGGAAGGAATAAAGACTGGAGCCTTGTCACCAGCTTGGGGAGCTTCACAGGAGTTAGAGAAAAGATGCAGTGTGGCCTGGTGGACATGCAGGTCTGGAGGCTCAAGCTGGCCAGACCGGGTCACAGTCCTGTGGCAACAACTCCTGCTGTAGACACCACTTGCTGTCCCAGCAGAGACCGCTGGGTACCACCGGCCTTGGGCTGGATGCCTGGGGAGGGGCAGTGAGGGTCTGATCAGGGAATGATTGGGAGTAGGAGTGTGGGCCGTGACCACGGAGTGGAGAGACGCTCCCCTGTAACAAAGGAACGAGACTCAGGCTGCAGTGCCCTTGACCCAGTGCAGAGGTGGATGGCTGAACAGCTACCTCCTGGGAAGGCCTTTGCTTGGTGTTCTCCATCGTGTGCATTATTAGTGTGTGAAGGGAAAGAACCTTTCATCTTTGAGAACTGTCATCTTGAATCATTAGAATATCTTTGAAAGACTTCAATATTCCTTTTTATGCAATTTGCATGAAATGAGGTTTTAAAATATAATGTGTTTGAAAATACACTTTGCAGATGAGTTAATTTTTTTTTTTTAAGCAGCATCTTAACTTAAAATTCCCATTGATGGCGGTTTCCCATAGTCTCAAGGTTGGCACTCCCCTAGGTTTGAAATGCCTCAAATGAAATGCCTAAGACGCAGGGATTGCATAATGAGCAGCCCAGCTCGTTAGGTGAGCCGTGTACGGCGTGCCTTTTCCTCCTGCTGGAGTGATAAGACACAAAGGCTGAGTTTTTCAAATAAAAGGGAGTCAACTAGATGGAAGGTATAAATGGACTGTAATAATGACACAATTCTAAAAAAAGATTCATAACCATTTTTTTAAAAGTAAAAGCAAATAGAGTGAAAAATTGGATTGTTTTCTTTTTGCTGTGTTTACTTGTGCAGTTAAGGAATAGATGTTTCTCTTTCTCTGGATGGGGAGGCTCTGGCACTGTAAAGGGAGTGTTGCAGAGAAAAGTCCAGCCCTCTGGTCCAGTGGTGACACATAATGATGCTTTAGTAAACCTGGTCAGGAAGTTTGGCCCTGGGGAGTGTAGGTAACTCATCATTGGGAAGCCAGTCAGCCACAAAATGCCCCTCATAGTTCCCCCCCTTTTTTTTCACTTAGTGGGTTTTAAAAAAATTTTATGTTTTATTGAAGTGTAATTGATTTATAATGTTAGTTTCAGGTGTACGTGCAGCAAAGCAATTCAGTTATATACATACATACATGTATATATTCCACATTGTTCCTTAATTACAGATAGTCGTGTCATTTTAGACTGCATTGTTTGGGGAAAGGAAGGAGGGCCTCTGGACTAACCTTGAAATGTGATTGCCTGGAGCTGGAGGTGATTGGACAGATGTGTTTTCCTGACTGCCTGGCTTGGCTGTTTGTTCTGCTCTCGCAGTGGCTCCCCTTCTGTCTCACTGGGTCTCCGCTCCCTGGGATGGGGCTTCATACTCAGTGATGCTCCAAGGAAGCCTGGTCCTCAGGGGACCTGAGCTTGGGGTTAGGCGTCTGCTCAGGGGCCTGTAGGCCGTGTGCACAATTGCTTCTTTAGAAACTGGAGACAGTTGTGCAGAGGTTGTCTTTTGTCCGTGATACTTCTGAGGTCATGATTACATTCAGCCAGGGAATTTGCTTCCCTCCAAAAGTCTGGCGCCAAGAAAGGCCTGTCCATTGGTCTGGAATGGTTTTAGGTGTCTCTTTGTGTCTTAGCCTTGACAGTTGCCGTGGTGGGACTGTTCTAACCTCCACAGGCTGATGGATACTGTGTTCCTATTTAATTCCTCAGTTGCTGGTGATCATTAGGTCAAAAGGACTTTGCTTTAGAGAGCTGGAATAGGATTGAGAATTAACAAAGGAGAACTCAGAATGTAGCTAAGGAAATTTATGAGTGAGTCAGGAAGGTAAGGAGAAATAAAGGTGGGGCCAGCTCAAAAGAGAGTAAAGATGACTTGTTCATAGAGGATGGTGGGCTTCCCAGGGGAGGTTCTGAAGCTAGGCATTTTTTTAGAAGAAGGGTACAGAAACAGAGGACTTGCTTCACCAGCAGAGAGGACCAAAGTCTTCACAATATTGTAAAGCTACGTTACTTGTTTCCCTGATTGCAGAAAAAAAATCATTGTTAAAAATAACTTAAGACTCTTACCGTCCAAACCTATAATGAAAAAAAATATGAAAAAGAATCTATGTACATATAACTGAATCACTGTGCTGTACACCAGAAACGAACACAACATTGTAAATCAACTAGACTTCAGTGAAAAGAAAAAGAAGAATCTTATCATCTGAAGATGACAATCACCGCTGCCATTTTGGTGTCAGTGTCTCCAGACTTTCATCAGTTACGCACATTTATATCGAAAAAATAGTTTTCATGGATACATAAAATTGAGATGCACTTATGCATTTAACCAAGCCCCCAGCCCCTGCTGTTGGATGTTTGGATTCTTTCCTTTTTCTTCTCAGTTAAATAACATAGACATGCAGAAGGATGGGCAGGTAGGGGTCTCTCACTGAGGATTTAGCCCTCTGCTGGCTTGTCGATGCTCTGCTGTAGACTTTATAGGGTCTCACATAGCACACAGGCGTTAGGTCAGGATTCAGGTGAAACCCACCCTCAGTCTATGCCTGGAAAGGGAAAGGGTCTGCATTGGGTCACGGTCATGTGGCTGTCACTGCACTTCACTTTGAGCTGCCCGCCCCCTGCCCCCCTTCCTGGATAACCTTCCCAGCCAGCACTTGCCCCGTCAAGCCTGCAGACCTGGCTTGGTGAGTCGTTTAAAGCACTTACTTTTGTTTCTTAACAAATATCTTTCTGAAGTGAACTGAAGGAAACTAAAGGGCAAAGGAAATTCCCATTAGTTTGATCAGTTTATGTTAAAAAGAAGTAAAACCGACAGCTTTCCTTGGCATAGCTAACCAAGCAGATGGCCTGAGCGGGAAAGCCATTTATGCAGATGACTGTGCTTCCGCTGCACCTGCCAGAACTTCTTGGTCTGGCTTCTTGCTGTCAGAGGACAATTTGAGAAATCGGTAGAATACATGCTCAAGAATGGAATGAAAATATATTCCTCAGGAGTGGAGATCTCCCGTCACCTTGAAGGGCAGTGCCTGCCACCCCTTCTGGCTGCAAGGGGGACCCACCGTCACCCCTCGTGGCTGCAGGGGGACACACTGTGCCACTTTTACTTAGTGTCTTGAGCCCTGATTGTCAAATGCTGAATCAGGTCCGTGCCCTCTGCCAGCTAAAGTGTGCAGATCCAACTTCATGATTTATGCATTCACCTCTTGCATTTCAAGGCAGCCTTCAGTACAGTAAAACTGTATCAGTGTAAGAGCCAGAAAACTTAGGTGCTCTCTTGCTTTTCCATGTTTGTCGAGGATGCACCAGGGATTGCCTTGCACCCTGGGTTTTTGCAGGGTTGCCATTGGGGTGCAGAGAGCAGAACCCATCTTGGTGCTCAGCACTGGGTTATCTTGTTGCCCCCACCCTATTCTTACTCTGGGACAGAATTTTCTAGCTTGGATGTGACTTTTTTCACCCAAGAACACTGAGTGTTCCTGAGGCAAAAAACCAACCCTCTGTGAGAAGATACGGCAGTGATGAAAGTTTATGAAAATGTTGTCTAGGGGAGTAAGAAAGGTGTTAAAAATGGAGGCACAATCTGATGGTCTCTTTTGTTCCCACTTCAGATGCAGCAGCAAGAGCACGGCTCGCTGAAGGCCAGCTTTTCCATCCTTGTCCTGGGGCTGGGCCGCCTCCTCTTCTGTTGGTGGTTGGCGGAGCTGATGGTTCACCTCATGTACATGCACGCCATCTACAGCAGCACCTCCCTCCTGAGGGCTGTCTCTTGCTGGACCTTAGGTAACTGTGGAAATCACTGGCAGTAGAACAGGCATCAAGAGGTAGCTTCAGAGTGAAGCTGGACTGGGTGCAGACAGGGGTGGAGTTGGCTTGAGCAAACCTTTTTTTTTGTTAACCTTGCTCCTTTTGTGGCCAAGATGACGCACGTGTGAGGTGGCTGACAGGTGAGGGCCAGGCTTTGTGGTCTGGGAACCAAGGATGGTAGCCATCCCTCTTCATAGTGGAATCGTCCTAAGCTTATCTGGGTCTGCATCTTCCTGGCATGGCCAACAGTGCACTTGACAGGAGAAGTCAAGAGATGCTGGGTACACCTAGGAGTTCCTGATCAGAGGTAATACTGTGAGGCTGAGTTCTGCAGGAGTCCTTGTTGTTTTTGTGTACGATATAAAGCAGAGTGTGAGCTTTAGAGTCAGGCAGATAGATTTGAACCTCGGCTCCTCCAGCCGCTAGTGGGCAACCTTTGGCAGCTTGCCACAACTCTGCATCTTCACCTGTCAAATAAGCAGACTCTGCAGAGTTGTTTTGAGGATTAAATGAAACCAGTCAGTTGAAGGGCTTATTTTACTAAGTATTTGATAGATAGAGTTCATGGTGTGTGTTTATGCAGGTCTCTCTATTGGCCTCTTTCTTGTCTACCCATTTCTTTAGATTTGCCAGTAAGTAGGTGGGCTACGAGTCTTACTTCCTCAGCAGGACACAGTCTCCAGTATGGGATTTTCTGAGGAGAAGCCATTGTTCTTCATTTACTTTCTTTCTTTCTTTTTTATTGAAGTATAGTCAGTTTACAATGTTGTGTCAATTTCTGGTGTACAGCGTAATGTTTCAGTCATACATATACATACATATATTCCTTTTCATATTCTTTGTCATTATAAGTTGCTACAAGATACTGAATATAGTTCCCTGTGCTCTACAGTAGAAAATTGTTTATCTATTTTATATGTATTAGTTAGTATCTGCAAATCTTAAACTTCCAGTTTATCCCTTCCCACCCCCTTCCTTCCCTGGTAACCATAAGTTTGTTTTCTATGTCTGTGAGTCTATTTCTGTTTTGTAGATGAGTTTGTAGTGTCCTTTTTAAAAAGTTTTTTTATTTTTTAGATTCTACGTTATGAGTTGTATCATACGGTGTTTTTCTTTCTCTTTCTGGCTTACTTCACTTAGAATGATGATCTCCAGTTCCATCTATATTGTATATAGTGCTGCTATGAACATTTGGGTGCATGTATCTTTTTCAATTGGAGTTCCCTCCAGATATAAGCCCAGGAGTGGGATTGCTGGATCATAGGGTAACTCTTTTTAGTTTTAAAAGGGATCTCCATACTGTTTCCATAATGGCTGCACAAACTGCGTTCCCACCAATAGTGTAGGAGGGTTCCCTTTTCTCCACAGCCTCTCCAGCGTTTATAGTTTGTGGACTTTTTAATGATGACTGTTCTAACTGGTGTGAGGTGATATCTCATTGTAGCTTTGATTTGCATGTCTCTGATAATTAGCAATACTGAGCATTTTTTCACATGCCTATTGGCCATTTATATGTCTTCACTGGAGAATTGCTTGTTTAGGTGAGAAGTCATTGTTCTTTTTACCTCTGGCCAAATAGCAGAGAACATGCCCATTTCTGAATGAAATCTCCTCATTTCCTTGTTTGCTCCCTGTTCAAGAACTCTCGTGGTCACTGAATTCAACCCTGTGGTCTGACCTCCAGCCTGCAGCTCCAATGGGAAATGTGTGATCTTCCGGCCAGATTAAGCTGTTCCCTGCCGAGGGCAAGAGTAATAGCCTGGCTCCTTATCTGTTTGGTGATTTATAGATTAAAAAAATCCTGATTGCCCTTGTTATCACACAGGCTTAATCAGGATGTTTTCAAGGAAGATGCCTTTTAGGATTGGAAAGACGCTGAGCTGTTTTATTTTATTTTATTTATTTATTTTTTTTTACATTTTTATTGATTCATAATCATTTTACAGTGTTGTGTCAAATTCCAGTGTTCAGTACAATTTTTCAGTCATACATGGACATATACACACTCATTGTCACATTTTTTTCTCTGTGATTTATCATAACATTTTGTGTATATTTCCCTGTGCTATACAGTGTAATCTTGTTTATCTATTCTACAATTTTGAAACCCCAGTCTATCCCTTCCCAACCTCTACCCCGCCCCCCACCCCGGTAACCACAAGTCTGTATTCTCTGTCCATGAGTCCATTTCTGTCCTGTATTTATGCTTTGTTTTTGTTTGGACGCTGAGCTGTTTTAATGGTCTCTTCTTCCCAAACAAATCTTTTTTGTAGTTAGGGGTAGCTAATAGTCTAAGTCTTTAATGATTCACTTAGGCAAACAAAATAGGATTAAATGATGGCTTATTCTAAATCGGATCCTAGTCATACTGCATCCAAATTAAGAGATTGTATTGGTTTGGGTGATTTTAACTCCGAAACTGGAAAGCAAAACTCAAAATGGGGCCTAAACAGTAAGGAAAAGCTGTTATCTCAGAGAGCTATGCCTCCTAAGGTCAGCGTTAAGGGTGCTAAATCCAGGGACTCAGAACAGTCACCAGTGGTCCATTTGGGTGCCTGCTACTCAGATTAAGAACTAACCAGCATCCTAGGAGTCCTTTGTTTGCACGCACAATCCCATTACTTTCTTTCACCCCCTCCACAGAGATAACCTGATTTTGGGTTGTATCATTTCCTTTTTATAAAATAGACTTTATTTTTTAGAACAATTTTAGATTATGGCAAAATCAAGAGCAAAGTACAGGGATTTCCCATATATTCACCTGACCCACACCGTGCACAGCCTCCCTCACTATCATCATCTCCACGTAGGTGGCCCATTTGTTACAACTGATGAACCTACATTGACACATCGTTATCTCCCCAAGTCCATCATTTACATTAGAATTTACTTAGTGTTGTATAGTCTGTGGGTTTTGACAGATGTATAATGACACGTATCTGCCACTAAAATAAACAGAGTAGTTTCATAGCCCTAAAAATCCTCTGTGCTCTATTAATCCCTCCGTCCCCTTTCCTCCCTGTGGGCTATTGATCTTTTTACCATCTCCGTGGTTTTAGCTTTTCCAGAATCTTTTATAGTTGGAATCATACAGTATGTAGCTTTTTCAGGTTACCTTTCACTTAGTGATTTGCTTTGAAGGTTCCTCCCTGTCTTTTTTAAAAAAAAATTTGGGGGGGCGGTGGGAGGGGGAGCTAACTAGGTTTATTTGTTTGTTTGTGTATTTAATGGAGGTACTGGGGATCAAACCCAGGACCTTGTGCATGCTAAGCACGCACTCTACCACTGAACTATGCCTTCTCCCTCTCCATGTCTTTTTATGCTTTGATAGCTCATTTGTTTTTACTGCTGAGTAATAGTGCATTGTCTGGATATACCACAGTTTATCTATTTGCCTATTGAAGCACGTATCAGTTGCTCTGAGTTTTGCAGTTATGAATAAATTTGCTACGAACATCCATGTGCGGGTTTTTATGTAGACATAAGTTTTCAACTCCTTTGAATAAATACCAAGGAGTGCAATTGCTTGATTACATGGTAAGGGTATGTTTATTTTTGTAAGAAACTGCCAAACTGGCTTTTCCAAAATGGCTTTTTTTTGGGGTTTTGTTTTCCAAAGCGGTTGTCTATTTTGCATTTTCATTAGCAATGAATGAGTGCCTGTTGCTCCACATACTTGCCAGTATTTGGTGTTGTCAGTGTTTTGGAATTTGACCATTCTGTTAGCTGCGCAGTAGTATCTTGTTGATGTAATTTACAATTCCCCAGGAAATAGGATGTGGAGCATCTTTTCATATGCTTACTTGCTATCTGTATCTTTGATGAGCGGTTTCAGGTCTTTGCCCACTTTTTAATTGGATTGTTCATTTTTTTATTGTTGAGTTTTAATGGTTCTCTGTATATTTGGATAACAGTGCCTTATCAGATGAGTCCTTTGCAAATATTTTCTCCCAGTCTGTGGCTTATCTTCTCATTCTCTTGACAGTTTGTAACAGAGAAGAAATTCTTCATTTGAATGAAGTCCACCTTATCAATTTTTTTTTTCCCAAGGATTGTGCCTTTGGTGTTGCATCTAAAAAGTTGCCACTGCACCCAAGGTCACCTAGGTTTTCTCCTGTGTTATCGTCTAGTTGTGAGTTTTATGTTTAGGTCTGTGATATATTTTGAGTTGATTTTTGTGATGGGTATAAGGTCTGTGGCCATATTCATAGACATGTATTTCTTCCAGCACCGTTTGTTAAAAAGACTATCCTTGCTCCATTATGTTGCCTTTGCTCCTTTGTCAAAGATTGGTTGACTATGTATGTCTGTGGGTCTATTTCTGGGCTCTCTGTTCTGTTCTGTTGATCTTTTTGTTTATTTTTTTCACCAGTATCACACTGTCCTGATTAACGTAGCTTTACAGTAAGTCTTGAAGTCAGATAGTGGCCATCCTCTAACGTTCTTCTTTTCCAATGTTGTGTTGGTTCTTCTGGGACTTTTGCTTTTCCATAGAAACTTTGGAATCAGTTTGTCGATATTCACAAAATAACTTGCTAGGATTTTGATTTGGATTGTATTGAATCTATAGATCAAATATGGAAGAACTGATATTTGATATCTTGAGTCTTTCTATCCATGAGTGTGGGTATTTTTCTATTTATTTAGTTCTTCTTTGGTTTCTTTCATCAGACTTTTATAGTTTTTCTCATGTATAACTTGTACATATTTTGTTATATTTATACCTAAATTTTTTTTTTTTGGTGCTAATGTAAGTGGTATTGTGTTTTTACTTTCAAATTCCACTTATTTATTGCCGGTAAATAGGAAAGCGATTGACTTTAATACATTAGCCTTGTTTTGTGCAGCGTTACTACAATCTCTTATTAGTTCTAGGAGGTTTTTTTTTGTTTTGTTTTGTTTTTTTTGCTGTTGTTGTTGTTGACTCTGGGATTTTCTACATAACAATCATGTCATCTGCTAACAACAAAAGATGA